TTCCTGAAGAAGCTCCCGGCTGATTGGAGCGAAACGTCGGGCGTCGCACCGAAACGGCAACGCGCGTGGCTCAACCAGGCGGAGAGAGGCACGCGGCGTCAACGACCGCGGGAAACCTGCACAGCAGTACGCCGAGCAGCGATGAGTATAGGGTTACTTTTGGGATTATAGCATTTTGGGAGCTTTTGATCAATTCACATTTTTCGGGTAATTTCCATAATGTAATGATCATGTAATAATATACATTGTTGATTTAAAGCTTTCGTGACCGCAGGGATTCATATTCTTGTTTCCCTTCTACGTGACTTTACCGAAAGAACCAAGAATATAGTTTGAATTGTGATTGTGTTAGTATAAGCAACGGTGACAATCACGCCAAGTGAGATCGCCCATGGCGGCAAAACCCAGGAAATTACGTGACGAATGGCATCACTTACTGGTCACATTTTTGGAAACGTCCGAAATTGGGATTTCACGGATTAGTCCGAAACATAAAAAAAAACTGCCGAGGTGTTGAGGAATGGCTACGTTTCTTACAACATGGAGGGGGGGGGGGGGGGGGTGTGGGACCCCTTGATCCAGGTTGGTTTGTTGTCCAAAGCCACCGGGGAGGGACCACATTTCGCTCTCAGATTTCGACACGCGATTTGCTTTCGCGGGTCAAGCAAAAGCGACGCTCGTGCATTGCTCCCAAAGCCGCCTCCGGGCAGATCTGCTACTTATGCGTGCCCCGTCCGTAAATTGCGCCGATGCTGGCAACAGAGGGAAACATAAAATTAAAACCTTAAGTGAAAGGTTAGAAATGTTCAGTGTTGCTGCCAGCGAGTTTGTAACCGCGAGGCGAGAAATCAAGGTAATATCGGAATCGAACGACCCCGCAGCACCATCTTCGAAACTGCAAATACCAAACGCGAGTCTATTGTGACGCCGAAAGATCTGCTTTACGTCACCTCTCGGCTGTAGCTCCCGGGCAAAGGTCACCAAGGGGCGCTGGACCCAAGCAGAACCAAGCCAACACTTAGAGCCCCAAGCGGCTCAGAGGGTCCCGGATTTACGCCGAATGGGCGAGACTTAACATCAGCTCGGCTTTCAATCCTAAGCAATGGTCAAGAGTCAATTAACCCACCATGCGGATCGACCTCTGCTCCCATCCATATCTTTCCCGTATCTCTCTAATCCACATCTCTTCTGTTATCTGACGCCCACGTTTGTACATTTAAAGCGGGGTGGTGGTTGGCGCGAATGGGATAACTAATAACTTCGACATAGGGCCCCCATTGGGCCAGCACCATCAGCACTGTCTACACGGCGACTGTGCTCGTCACCGCCACGCCTGAGGTTCTTTTGCGTGGCTTTATAATTATCCTTGACCCGTGCTGTCATCTCTGATATTTGGTTCGTCGATTTGGGGGGGGGGGGGGGTGCGGAAGGGGGGGTGGGGCACCGGATTCGGAATGCCCAAGCCAGTCATGGTTGATGTTTGGTATCTCTTCGGATTTGTATCTGTCCGTCTTTCCATCCATCCATCTCTACATCCGTTTGTCCGCCGTCCATCTCTCCATCCGTGGGCTTGGTTTATTTTGGACGTTTTGCCGACCACTTTGTGTTCATCGTGGCGGTGCAGCTTGGCTTCACGGTGAATAGCTGGAGCTCCCGCTTGTTTTGTGTCTAAGTAGTTCCCAACAAAAGGCGATTACATCACGGCTTCAGTCGTTACTCTTTTGTCTTGGGCTTTGTTGCCCAGCCACCCGCGGTACGGGAGAGTTGTGTTCTCTCGTTAAGCTAAAGAGGAATTTGCTTTTACCAATGCACCGCTCGGCCAAAAGGCGTATGCGCAAAAAGAGCATCCTGTTGTCCTCAGATCGATGAATTCGCACAAAAAATAAAAAAAATAAAAACGAGAAAAAAAGAATGGGTGGTAAAAATTATAATTAAAAAAACCAAGAAGACACGGATGACAACAACAACAACAAAAGTTGAGAGGTCAAAAGAAATACCGGCCTTAATTCTTTCGGACGCATAAATAACAGAAGTGACCGCCGGCAAAATGTAATCAAGTGCACGGAGAACGTGTTAGGGAAAAACGCAGGCAGGCAGTGGCTGGTAGGCCATCACCGGCCCACATCTGCCTTTAAATAAGAAATTTAAACGCATCGCAAATAATCAACAATAACAACAACAAATGTCTGGATTTACATAAAACTCACGATGAGCAGAAATCATAATCCCGTAGAATGGTAGGCGATGGAGTACAGAACGCACGATGAAAAAATAACAAAAAATCGTAAGGATGAAAAGCAAATGTTGTCCGCGGTCTGCGTCACTGTGAATTAAACATAAGCGCAGAACTGTGAGGAGTGGGGGGGGGGGGGGCGCTTTGAACATCCCCCAGCTATCGATCAGTCCTGCGGGGTAGGTGAGCAACAGGTGGTGCCACTTGACGAGTACACAGTTCTGCGCGCGTCTTCAACTTACGTTCCATGGATTCACCGGGTCTGCACATTTCCACGAAGCGAACGCGCGTCTTTGAATACAGAAACATGGATTTTTACATTGGCTTCGTTTGTTTAAAGTAACATTTTTTTTGGCTGTCACCTTTTTCATGAAAGGTGCCGATTCATTGGTGGTGATTTCTCCCCCCCCCCCACCCACCACCCGCCCCCCACCCGATGAGGTTTTGCAGGTATACGTGTGCCGCCACCAACACCGCCATCATCATCATCATCGTCGTGACATCACAATAGTAATCTCATCATCGTCGTCGTCGCCGCCATCGTCATCGTCACCGCCGCCACGAACGTCACTCTCATGCAAATGATCATAACCATTGTCATCATCATCGTATGCTGCGCGTCGCCACCATTGCCACTGTAATCATCATCATCATCATTTCCGGAAAACCCAACGCCGACCATTACGCACTCTGACAATGAAATCAGATGCATTGTTCGAAAGCTCCAAAACAAAATAATCATCGCATTAATCATTATTATTATTATGCACTGATAACAATAACTTAAAAAAAGAAAGAGCTTTACCCGACCAACTTTGGAACGCGCGCGATGCGCGAGAGGATTAAAACTGAGCACGGGAAACGAGCACGTGGCTTTGGCGACAGAGATCCCACCCGGTGCGTTTTTTGATATAACGCGATTTAACGCGTACAATTTGGTTTCACTTGTGCACAAAACCAGCGTCACTAAAATTATAGACAGACACCCCGGACGTTACAAAATTTAATATCGCGCTGTGATTTGGAGTCCCGACCAAACAAAATCCCTCTGGAGTGGGAAAATTCCATGGCCGGGTCTTCCACAGGACCTGGGGAACAGCGGGAGGGGAAACTTCCGTATGAATCGCAAAGGTTTCCGTGAAAATCCTGGACCGGATTGCCCTGCGGAGTTTGGTTGCGGAGTTCCGATCGAAACAATTTTTGGGGCTTAATCCCCCCCAGCACACACACATAACACACGGCAGCTCTGACCAATCAAATGCAACTGCGTGAACATAGGGCAGAGGAGGCAGCAGTTTGAGGCGCTGCAGTGGCTAGGAGATGTTAACTCCCTCGCCTGGTATGCAGGTGGTCGTGGGTTCGATCCCGAACCCCGACGCCTGCTGTGTATTTGGAAGTTTGCGGTGTCTCTCTCTCCCTCTCCCCGTGGCCGCGTAGACTTTTCTCCCGAGTCCTTCGTTTTTTTTCAACCCTCCACGTTCAGAATCGACATCGTATTTCTCAGAGTATTTGGCTGCTAGAAATGTCCCCGTGACGATAAGCCACTTTGTTGAGCTACCCACTTGTGATGGCCAGGTCGATTATTGAAAAACAGCGACATCGCTCAGCGGGGGCTTTAACTGGTTAAATAAAATAGTTTTTGTTTTAGATTTTATAGTTGGGGGGTAGCAGGGGTGAGAGATTGCTAAATTGCCATGATTGTGTGTCTCTTGCCTTTGGCCAAACTTGACATAAACTCACTCTTTGCAGAAGAAGCCAGAACGGGGGGGGGTGTGTGGAAAGTAAAATAAAAATTCCGCAACGGAATTAAAAAATATAAAAAGGCGCGAGTTCGCCCGATCACCGTGGCGGTCGGGTGGCTGAGAGCTGGACGACACAGGACGAGGTCAGTTAAGAGAGAGAGAGAGAGCCAGGGCTGGACCCGCCCCCCCCCCTACCCGGCTCGCAGTCTCTCGGGGCGGGGGGGGAGAAGCAGGCCCGGGCCGAGACGCTTTCACATTTCACTTTGGGACATTGCCGAGGGAGGAGCGTCGTGACACCGCGAGTTACAACTCAAGCAACTCGTCTTTTCGCTGCTACATTTTCCATTTGACTTCTTTGACCAACCCCCCCCCTCCTCCAAATCCCTCCCCCACCTCCTCCCAAAACGGAACAGCACAAAACTAAATATATCCATCGGCGTGCACCACAACCACTCATTTTTCAAGCACGATTAATACAAAATGAGTTTGGGCGGGGAGGGGGGGAGGTGGTGGAGGGCTTGTGCAGCTACGTATTTTTTTACTGGTGGCGAAGTCGCAGAGTTGAACGCCTTCTTCTTAAACAACAACAACAACAAAAGCCAAGGCCTCCCCCACCACCACCACCACCACAAAAGAGGTTTGTTTACGAATCGCCGTCCGCGAGGCGAGTGGCGCGAAGGAGGTCGCCGTCTCTTTCACGGTCGTCTTCCTCGTCAAAAGTCTTGAGGCGGCCGCGATGTCTGTGACATTGGCAATGGAGGTCACCGCCGTCGGGGTAACAACATCATCAGGTAGAGCGTCGTTTGATTGCGAGCATTGTTGTTGTTGTTGTTTGTTCGTCGTCGTCGTTGTTGTTGTTGTTTACTCTTCGTCTTCAAAGCCCCTTCTCGCTCGTATTTAATTTTATTATTCCGTGTTTGGGGGGGATGCCCCTCCCCTCCACCCCCCGCCCCCCCACCGAGAGCGGTCTATTATTGAGGAGACCGCGTCTGGCGAATGAGCCCCCCACTTTCCCACACAACCCAATGCACCCCCCCCCACCACCACTTCCCCCCCCCCCACCTCGCCTCCCACCTGTGCGGAGAGTGTCGGGAGGGGGGGGGTGGGGGGCATTTTTCGTTGTCATGGCAATTATAAATCTAGGCCGAGGCCTTGTCCACAGCCGCCCGAGCCTTTCCTAGAATGCAACAAGCTTCCACAACAACAATAGCAACAACAACAAAAAACCTCTCTCCTCCTCAACAAATCGACGGAAGTGTGTAAAAAAAAAGCTGAAGCCCTTACAACAACAACAACAAATAAACAACCCTGCTGCACGCGGTTTCTGTTTGTTTATAACGTAACGAGTTAATTTCCCGGTGGGCACAGCGGGCGGCCAGACATCGTTCGTCGCCGCCGTCGCCGCTTCGTCGTGCGGGCGAGCGGGGCTGAAGGAGCCCAAAATCAGCGAGACGCCGCGGCTCCGATCTCCACCACGATCGGCGAGTCGGCTCGCGGCGGCGGCGGCGGGGCAGAGACAGCGGCGGCGATAACCCCATCATCCGGTGAACCACCAACCCTACAGCCACTGCTGCCGCCGCTGCTGCTGCTACCTCCTCCTCCTCCCTTGACCGATCCGGCCGTTTGAACGATGAGGTCAGCCGCGGGCTGTGGAGATGGTTCAACCTTGGGCTGTTGTTGTTGTTGCTGCTGCTGATGATGATGCTGATGATGATGACGATGTTGTTCCTTTTGTGGTTGCTGCTGCTGCTGCTGCCGCTGCCCGCAAACGTGGTGATGGCGCTCCCAGTCCTTGTGTTGACAGAAGGCGCCGCAGTAGCGTGCCGTGTTGCAGCCCGAGCACGTCTCGCTCGCCTTGCGGCCGCAGTTCCAACAGCTCTGCAGGCGCGGATACACGCGCCCTGAGTACACGCGCCTTGAGTACACGCGCCCTGAGTACACGCGCCCTGAGTACACGCGCCTTGAGTACACGCCGAGTACACGTGCCCTGAGTACACGCCGAGTACACGCGCCCTGAGTACACGCGCCCTGAGTATACGCGCCTTGAGTACACACGCCTTGAGTACACGCCGAGTACACGCGCCCTGAGTATACGCTGAGTACACGTCTGCGAGCACTCCATGCATGCGCGCTCCTCCATTACCCCCCCCCCACCTCTATCTCATCCTCCCCTCGCCTCCTCGTCCACCTCCTCCCGCTCCACCTCCTCGCCTCCCTGGAGTCGTCCTGACGCGCCACAATGGCGATGGAGTCGCTGTTCGCCTGCCGCCTGACCTCTGCGAGTGCCCGCTCCATGCGTGCGTGCTTCCCCTCTCCATCTTGCTCCCCCCCTCACCTTATCCTCTCCTCCTCGTCCACCTCCTCCGCCCCACTCCTCATCGCCCACCCCCTCGTCCTCTTGCTCCTCCTCCCCTCCACTTCATCCTCCCCAACTCCCCCATCCCTCATCCTGCTCCCGAACTCCTCCATCCTAACCACACCCCCCTCCCCCCTCTTCCACCTCATCCTCCCCTCTCCTCCTCGTCCACCTCCTCCCCCCCCCGACTCCTCATCGCCCCCCCCCCCCCGCTCGTCCTCTTGCTCCTCCTCCCCTCCACTTCATCCTCCCCAACTCCCCCATCCCTCATCCTCCTCCCGAACTCCTCCATCCTAACCACACCCCCCTCGTCCACCTAATCCTCCCCTCTCCTCCTCGTCCACCTCCTCACCTCGCTGGAGTCGTCCTGCCGCGCCACGATGGCGATGGCTTCGCTGGCCGCCTGCCGTTTGGCGTCTGCGAGCACACGCTCCATGCGTGCGCGTTCCCCCTCGATGGTGCTCCGCGCCTGCCTCTCCGCGTCCGACACGGCCTTCTGCAGCTCCGACATGGCCCGCCGCTTCACCTCGTTCACCGCCTCCTCTGCCCGGCGCGCGCGGGGGAGATAACCGTCGTCGTCATCGTCGCAGCCATCGCCGTCGTCATCTTCGTCGTCGTCGTCGTCGTCGTTATCGCCGTCGTCGCCACCGACATCGTCGTTCACATTGTCATCGTCGCCGTCGCCGTCGCCGTTGTTGTCATCGCTGTTCGTCGCGTGGCTGATGTTGGTGATTCTACACTGAGGTGGTTAACGTGCCAGGCGATTAAATCCGGAGTAGCGGCGAAGTGCTGTATCATCGCCGTGATGATTCCTCCTACGTATCTGTGAATCATCGCTGCGATGATCCCTCCTTCGTATTTGTGAATCGGGGCCATTGAGTCTCTGTAGTTCGTTCTGTGGTTCTGCTCTGGGTGGTGACCACAGTCGCCACACACTGCCCGGAGAGTTTGTAATTTCGCATTTTTGCATCAGCAGCAGCAGCATCATCATCATCATTGTCATCAAGTTATCTCTATCATCTGCTGCCATGCTTTGTGTGCAGTGGATGATGTAGTGTAGGGTTTGTGGCCCAGAAGTTTCATGGTGGAAGATGGGAGCCAGGAATCTTTTGCATCGTCTGGTTTTTATAAGCCCATTGAGAGCCTACGTAGGAAATTCACAAGCTCTTGTTTAAGCTGTCAGATTAGCCCGCAAATGTCCTCACCTGCTTTTCTCCAGATATCTTCGGGCATGTAGCGCGTTCCTGGCCTCGACAAGAATTCCTGGTGCGTGTCTGAAACGAAGCGATGAGATGATACCTTAAAATCAAATCAAAGCTGTCGTACACTTGGTGCTGCTGGACCTGGGGCTGGTCGAGTTTCACAGTAACGGGAGCGATCCTGCTGTGTGATCTACCAGTTGAGTAATTTACGGTGTAATAAAAAAAAGGATATTTTTGACCCTGACGCTGGTGGCCTGCGACGGCGTGCTCCTTTGCCAAATGTTGTCGCGGGATCTTTTACCGTCCACTGTGGTGCGGCGGACGGCACCTCGTTTGGTGTTCATCATTCACAAACCCACGGCATTTACCAGGGTGGCTGCGAAGAACCAAACAACGGCAACAAGCGGCTAGACGTGCCGTGTTCAACTTGTGCCGTACAGGGTCAGCTGCCATTGTGGGGGGGGGGGGGGGGGGGGGGGGCGGGGGTGTGGTGGTCACCTAGGTTGAGATGTTTATTCCGCTCTGCGCGCGATAGAGAGGCAAGCCTCCTCCGCCAGTGTTATTTCCGAAGGGCCTCTCTGAGGCAGTTCTACGAAATCCGCTTCCACGGCACCGGTCGCTTACGACTCACCCAGCAGAAGCAGCGACGCGGTCGACGCGAGCCCGCCCGACGAGACGGCCGCCACCGCCGGCGCCAGCTGCTGCTGCTGCTGCTTGGAAATCCCGGACATGGACCCGGAGCCGAGCGTGGAGCCAGAGCCTCCGACCGCGACGTGGCCCAGCCCGTTCTTCTTGCCGATGGGGCCGGCGCTGGCGCTGGCGCCGGGAGGGTCGGCGGCCTCCTCGGAGCAGCAACGGCGGACCCAGCGCGCCAGCTCCTGCCGGTCGGTCTCCTGGCAGCGGCGGAGCACGGAGATGGCGCGCCGTGTCTTCTCCACCATCTCCAGGATGCAGGAGAGCAGCTGTGGGCGGGTCGGTGGGTGGGACGGAGGGAGTCGTTAAGTCGGGAGCGGTACGCGTGTTCCAAGTATCGTGGAAACAAGAAGGTAGTGTTGAGCCACGGCTGCTGAAGGTGTAGCGGGGGTGTGTGGGTCTCCACCTGCGACTCGCCCATACCCACTCATACCCATTCACCCATCCATACCCACCCATACCCCTTGCCCATCCATCCGCCCATACCCACGCATACCCATCCACCCACCCATACCCACCCATACCCATCCATGCATCAGTACCCATCCACCAATACCCACCCACTCACCCATACCCATCTACTCACCCACTAATACCCACCCACTAATACCCAGCCACCCATAATGCACACAACCACCCATACCCACCCACCCGCACTCACCCACCCACCCTCCATGCTTACGTGGTCGAGGTGCTTCCACTCCTCGGCCCACTCACGCTCTGTCAAGCGGTGGTCGATGACCTCTTCGGGCCGTGACACGGGCAGGGCTGGCGGAGAGAGAATGGAGGAAATGGGAACGGAGTCATGGCTGCCCTCATTAAGCTTTGACCCCGATCATCTATATATGCTACTCGCGAGGCAGCACGTTGAGACACCATTTTTTTAAATATAGCAAAGACCTTCGAGCGCTTAGTTACGTATGTATGTATATTGAACTTCTTTCGCACCATATGCAGCCAACCGTGCTATTTGGAGGTGCGGGGAAGGACAGTTACACAGCTTCAGAGTTTAACGATATCATTAATACCAGGAAGCTGCTGACGTAGACCAGCATAGCTTGTTCATCCCCAGGTAGACATATCTCCGTAGCAATACCTTATCTTTCGGAATATGTGTTTCGTGATAATTGTTCGGAATCATCTCCCGGAAGACGTCTCTCCCCACTGTAAAAGCAGCGCGTTCACAACCATCATCATAATCTTTATTTAGACTACCGGAGGAGGCAGAATTCGATGAGCTATGAAGCTCTTTTTCACCGATGTCCAGTATGGGCACGGGTTAGCAAGTGACAATGTAATCATGCGGAGGTCGGCTCTGCGTAACCAGTACCATAATCTCCCGATTACAAGACGCTCTTTCCTTTTCTCAAAACGAACCCCCAAACCTTGCTTGGGGGTATGGCGGTGTCTTACTTGCCCGGAGCGTCTATAATCCAGGGAATACGGCAGCGGCGGCAACGCTGTCACGAACCGACACGGGAGCTATCGTCGGTCTGCTACGGTTGCTAGGAGATGTTAATTATCTTGTCTGGTATACAGGAGGTTCGTGGCTTCGATCCGGAACCTGATGTTTGTATATTTGGAGCTTGCATGTGCATGTTCTCTCTCTCCCTGTGGTCGCAAGGATTTTTCCTCCGGGTCTCCGATTTTTCCCTCCACATTTTAGAATCAACATCGCTGCTATAAATGTCCACGTGATGATAAGCCACTTCGTTAAGCTATAATTTTCGATAGCCAGGTCGCTTCTGAAAAAGATCTGTAAAGCTCAGTGGGCCTTGCCTGGTAAAATTTTAGTTTTATAGTTTTATAGATCCTCACCGAGCGAGTGATGCCGCTCCCGGTGCTCCCGCATCTCGCACGCCGCATCCCGGTAGAGCCCGGACGGCGAGGCCGCCATGGCCGCCCCTCCGTGTGGGATGTTATGCGCTGCCCTCCCTCCGTGCGCCATCTCCTCCGCCCGTCTGTGGTGCCCACCGCCGCCGCCCAGCGAGTACAACGTCGCCGGCTGAGACAGCCCCACCGCCGCCACCGCCGACTGGCCGTGCACCCCTCCGCTCAACGCCGGGCGCTGCGCCGTCGTCCCCACGACCCCTGCGCCGCCGCCGCCGCCGCCCGGGGCTAACGGAGGAGCCAGCGTCAGGGGAGAGGCCAGAGCGGCCAGGGCATTGTGGGATGAAGCGGCCGAGCCGTTGAGAGGCGGCCCGCTGCCACCGCCGCCGATGGACGGCGGTGGGGGAGCGAGCGGAGGGCACAGGCGCTTGCCGCTCGGCGCGTCGTGGCCCAGCCCATTCTCCCGGCTGCCCCTGTGGCGGAGGGCGGCAATGGGAAAGGGGAGCAGCGGCGTTAGTTGGGCGCAGGTGCGGGCGCAAGAGACGCCCGCCAAAGCGCCGACCGAATTGCTCCTCGTCTTTACGGTGGATGGTGTAACGGCGTCCCTAAGGCACCGCCGTAGTGAGATGTTAACTCCCTCGCCGGGTATGCAGGAGGCCCTGGGTTCGATCCCGATCCTGATGCCTGTATATTTGGGGTTTGTGTCTCTCTGTCCCCGTGGTCCCGCGGATTTTTCTCCGTGTACTCCGGTTTTTCCCTCCACATTGAGAATCGACATGCGTTTTGGGGTGTTTGACTGCCGTATATTTTCACTTGATAAGCCACTTCGTTGAGCTATCATTTGTGGCCAGGTCACTTCTAAAAAGAGCTACAAGGCTCAGTGGTCCTTACCAGGTTAGTTTAGTGATAGCACGTGTCCTCATATTTCCAAGCGCGCGCCTCGCCACACTTCCCTGCGCACTTTTGAGCTTTTGTAATGATAATATACGAACCTTACACTTGTGGCCAATTATGCAAATTAACTTCTGGATAATTCTGACACAAATAATGTCAACTTGTAACGCTGCACTTCCGTCACACAGTATCTGCAACTCCTCTCTCGTAGCTAAAAGGCCGACTCAGAGGCGCCACGAGGAGGAGGAACCGCGGACGAGTGGGGAAGGCAGCAGCAGCAGCCAGCAATGAGGAGCCGGCGCTACCAACAATTGCCCAAGCTCTGCAGTCCACTATACATTCAGGTGTTATCAACTAATGAATTTAGAGAGAGGAAGACACTTAGGTGTGAAGAGGAACCACAGACTATCGGGGATGGCAGCAGCAGCCACGCAATGAGGAGCCGGTGCTATCAACAATTGCCAAAGCTCTGCAGTCCTCTATACGTAGTCCTCTATGCATTAGTATAGAGGACTATACTAATGTATAAATCCGGAGACGTTTTCGGGTAGGCGTTTTTTCATCTTCCTGACAAGACGATTCCCCACAGCGATGCATGACCGTCCAGAGGAGAGAAGATGCCACCAGACGAATCATCGTCCGGAAGACCCTCCTGTCACTCACCCCGACCCTCCCACCCTCACCTGTCCCCCCAATCCTCACTTGCCTCCTCGCTCTCACACCTGTCGCTCGTCCTCCCACACTCACCTGTCACTCAGACTCCTCTTCCCATTCTCGTTGACCTCCAGTAGAGGCTCGGCAGAGTCGAAGGGTGACGGTGACTGCTGCTGATGCTGCTGCTGGTGGTGGTGCTGCTGCTGCTGCTGCTGGTGGTGGTGCTGTGGCGTCGTTGCGGTCCCGTGGTGCGGTGGGTGGTGCTGGTGGTGGTGGTGGTGCTGCTGGTGGTGGTGCTGCTGGTGGTGCTGGTGGTGGTGTTGGTGCTGGTGGTGGTGGTGGTTGTGAGATCCCGCCATCGTGCCGCCACCGTGGGACGAGGTTCCCGCGCCGGGCGGTAGCGGCGCAGCAGGAGGAGCAGGAGGGATGCCCACGTCGAGCAGCAAGAACTGGTTCTGCGCCAGGTATTGAGCCGGAGAAAGCTTGGCGGTTCGCGCGCATTGCAGAAGCTCGCGCTGGAGAAGCGGCAGATTGGCCTGCGCGCGCGCGTGCGCACACCCACGCGCGGATAGACAAGTGTTACACCTCCACACTGGTGAGCTGATGGGGTCCAGTCTGGTGGCTGCACGCTCTTTCGACGCGCATCTCCCCAATGCTCTTGCGTGACACAGAGAAAGCACTGCGTTGGCCCATGATGGCTTCAAACACGATCGGGGGCTTTTTGTGTGCACTCCACCACGTTGCACACCACCACGTTGCACACCAGCACGTTGCACTCCACCACGTGTACTCCACCACGTGCAAACCTCAGGCAGCACGTGTACTCCACCACGTGCACACCGCAGACAGTGCGTGCACACCACTGCGTACACTCCACCACGTGCACACCATCCACCACGTGCACTCCACAGCGTACACACCTCAGTACGTGCACTCCATCACGTGCCCATCTCAGACAGCACGTGCACTCCACCGCGTGCACACCATCCACCACGTGCACTCCACCACGTGCACACCATCCACCACGTGCGCACCGCAACTTCCAAGATCGTACGCCACGCTGTGTCTGGCGACGCCCAGCACCGATCACGTGTCCGGAGGGGCGTGGCACAAACGCGCTGTCATTCCGTCCATGTATTACATTCTTCCTTTAGACATTGTGCCACAGAAAGACAAATGTAGGTATGCATATTGAACTTATTTCGCACCGTACGTAGCCAACCGTACCCATCGGATGTGCGGGGGGAGGACAACACATGATAACGAAACTGGCTTATCGCGTGGAAATTTATAGCAGTCAAATACTCTAAACGCATGTTTATAAACACGGAAGGAAAAACTTAATTTGCGCAGGGAAAAACCAACCTGACCATGGGGAGAACACGCAAACTCAACATACAGGCATCGTCAGGGTCGGGATCGAACTCAGAACCTCCTGGATACCAGGCGAGGTAGTTGACACCTAGCCACCATGGACCCCCCTAGTATAGCCTCAACAGACTGTTAGGGCAAGTGCTGTTAGTGATTAGCAGCACCTATGATGGCCGGCACGGCACACGAGGTGGTGGGTCCCAAGCCAGAAATCACCGCGCCCAGTCGCCTTTGTCTCCCCAGCGCTGATATTTATACACCTCACCAGGCACACATTTGAGGCTGAGTCGACCTAGAGCAGACTCAGAATCGGCACTTGAACACGGCTCTCGCCGGGTTCGCAGCACACGCAGTGCGCTAACCGCTGCGTCACCGCTCCCCCATAACATCTCATTTGAAGACAAAGTCAAAGACGCCCCGTATAGCTTGGAACAGATTGTTGGGGCAAGTGCAGTTAGCGAACACCTATGAAGGCCAGAACGGATGACGAGGGGGTGGGTGACCACCACCACCACCACCACGGCCGCCACCTTTGTCTTCCTAGTGGCAACGTTTGTACACGTCGCACTTGACTGAGTCGACCGATGAGAGGCCCAGGAACTGGTTCAGATAATCATCACTGAGGTTGGGCCGTGAGCGGGAATCGAACACGGGTCTAGCCGGGTTCGTAGCACACGCAGCGCGCTATCCTCTGCGCCACCGCTTCCCCGTAATGTCTCTTATAAACACGCGCGCGAACACAAATTTTCTCACCCCTAATACAATAGAAAGTGGGAAAGTAAAGATAACATTTAAATGATAACCGGTACTGGCAGTCAGAGCGTTGATGATGATGATGATAACGATAACCTGGACGCTACGGAGCGAGTTGAGAAGAAAGCTCACGTCGCTCCAGCGGACTTTGCGGAACACGTGTTTTTGATTTCTCTCCGATATATATTTTGCAGATGCGCCTGGCGCTCCTCGGGCTACGGAACCCAGGAACACATGTCCCTCTCAGCAGCGCCAAGGCAAACAAAGCTCATGTGTGGGTGGTGGTTGTAGTGGCGGTTGGACCTGGGGAGCCGCGGTGTGGTGGTTAGCGCTACGCTGCGCTACGAACCCGGCGACCCGTGTTCGGTTCCCGCTCTCGGGCAACACCGGCGACGATCGTCTGAACCGGTCCTTGGCCTCTCTCCTAGGTCGACTAACAGCACGTGCCCCAAACAGTCTGTTACAGACCATGCGGGGTATTTTTTCTGGTTGCGGTTGAACCGTAATGCACAACCAGAATTCTACAGCAACAACAACAACGACGACGACGACAATTTTTTTTTTGCATTTTGCAGAAGAGAAAATTACAATAAAGCAGAGAACGGTACATTCCTGCACATTAAACTGGGGGAGGGTGGGAGGCAGACGGGGGGGGGGTGGGGGCGCTGTGGGGATGGTCACATTTGAATTATAAATCTTATTCAGGGGAAAAATGTAACGAATGATGCTTGTGATGGTACCGCTTGCATTGGCAGCGGGACACACAGAGGCACAAATGACAAACAATAACCAGACTCAACTCAATCGCCAATAACACCGTGTGGTGTGTGGCCTCAAAGGAAACAAAGATATATATTAGGCGACGTTTCGGGCAATGCTCCTTCATAGCACATGAACAGAGAGGCCACAGTCGTTATGTGGGGAGAGCCTCACTCAGTCGGTAGTATATTTTTTATTTTACCACGTAAGGCCCACTGTAGCTGTATAGGGACTCCTCTACTTACGAACGAGTTAGGTTCCAGAGGTGTGTTCGTAAGTCGATTTGTCCGTAAGTTCAACTTTACTCCCATTGATTCCAAACGTGTTGTATGGCGTGTACACTAAAAACACGGGGAATGGCTTTAAATGTTGTATAATCTCCTGTATATGTAGATGCCACCGGTTCTTCACGTTCTGCAGATGTAGATGCCACTGGTCCTTCACGTTCTGCAGATGTGGATGCCACTGGTTCTTCACGTTCTGTAGATGTAGATGCCACCGGTTCTTCATGTTCTGCAGATGTAGATGCCACTGGTTCTTCACGTTCTGCAGATGTAGATGCCACTGGTTCTTTATGTTCTGTAGATGTAGATGCCACTGGTTCTGCATGTTTTGCAGATGTAGATGCCACTGATTCTTCACGTTCTGCAGATGTAGATGCCACTGGTTCTTCACGTTCTGCAGATGTAGATGCCACTGGCTCTTCACGTTCTGTAGATGTAGATGCCACTGGTTCTTCACGTTCTGCAGATGTAGATGGCACTGGTTCTTTAAGTTCTGTAGATGTAGATGCCACTGGTTCTGCATGTTCTGCAGATTTAGATGCCACTGGTTCTTCACGTTCTGCAGATGTAGATACCACTGGTTCTTCACGTTCTGTAGATGTAGATGACACTGGTTCTTCACGTTCTGCAGATGTATATGCCACTGGTTCTGCATGTTCTGCAGATGTAGATGCCACTGGTTCTTCACGTTCTGCAGATGTATATGCCACTGGTTCTGCATGTTCTGTAGATGTGGATGCCACTGGTTCTTCACGTTCTGCAGATGTAAATGCCACAGGCTCTTCACGTTCTACAGATGTAGATGCCACCACCGTCATCTATTGCGCGATAGTTGAACTTATGAACTCTCGGTCCGAATGGGCAACTGGACATACGGACAGGTTTGTCATATCTCTGGAAGTTCGTAAGTGGAATGTTCGGAAGTAGAGGAGTCACTGTACAGCCCTATTTTCAGAAGCGACCTGGCTACAAATTATAGCTCAACGAAGTAGCGTATCATCACGTGGACATTTTATAGCAGCCAATTACTCTGAACGTGGAGAAAAAAAAACAAAGGACGCAGAGAAAATCCACGCCACCACTAAGAGAGAGACATGCAAAAATCCAAATATACAGAAGGCTTCAGGGTCGGGATCGAACCCACGATCATCCTGTATACCAGGCGAGGTAGTAAACATCTTTCAACCTTGTTGAAGGCAGCAAAAACGCGGAATAAAAAAAAACGGTATTGTACCAGGATCGATGTCCCAAAATATTGTGCGGGGGGTGTATCTTAGCCATATCTACATTTCTAATAGTTTAATAAAGTTGTTCACCGTTTTGCATAATGCATGCAAATCGCATCTCAAAACAATCTCGTAGGGTTCATCTTGATTTGAAGCTTCCGTGACTGCAGGAATCCACACTCTTTCGTTCTTTCGGTAAAGTCACATAAGGTAGACAATAGATCACGACGTTTCGGTCGCAGCACAAGCAACCGTCATCAGGTGAAACAACAAACAGCAGGAGAACTGCTGACGTAGCAGTTCTCCTGCTGTGTTTGTTTCACTTGTGTTGCGACCGAAACGTCGTGATCTATTAATTATCTTAGGGTTACTCAAGCGCTGGGCAGCTTTCGCATAGAGGGCGAGAGTTGGCACCACGGACCCGCGCTTGGGAAGTGCGGCCAGAACCGGCGCTATACGAACAATTGCCCGAGCTCTGCCGTCCCTACATTGGGGGCGATGTTTCCCCAATCCCATTAACGAGCTGCGTATTGTGCGTACACGCGAGAGTGAGCCGCTGTATGATCTCTTAGCCATATCTACGAAACATGTTTTTGGGTGAGGGCGGGGGATGGGGTGGAAGCTGGCTGAACAAAGACAAAGATCACCCGTATAGCCTCAACATACTCTTTTTTTCGGGGGCAAGTGCTGATAGCGAGCAGCGCCTACGAAGGCCGGCGCGGCACGCGAGGGCGTGCGGTGGTCAGCACCAACCCCCGCACGGCCGCCTTTGTCTCCCCGAGCGGCGATGTTTAACGCACACCGCACTAGCTCGAGTACTCATTTTGAGACAGAGTCGACCTAGGGGAGGCCCAGCACCGGTTCAAATCGGGTAGGGGAAGCACACGCGCCAGTGGGCCGGCTGGGCTCAACCCCTGGGGGCTAACATATCGAGGCGCCTCCCTCCCTCCCTCTCTACCTCCCTCCCCTCCCTCCCTCCATCCCCTCCCTTCCCTCCCTTCCTCCATCCCCTCCCTCCCATCCCCTCCCTTACCTCCCTCCCTCCCATCCCCTCCCCTCCCTCCCATCCCCTCCCCTCCCTCCATCCCCTCCCTCCCATCCCCTCCCTCCCTCCCATCCTCTCCCATCCCTCCCTCCCTCCAT